ACCAGGTTGCTCCAAGCCCCATCCAGCCTGGCCTTGAACCCCTCCAGGGATGGGGCAGCCACAGCTTCTCTGGGCAACCTCAACACCTCACAGTAAAGAATTTCTTCCTGATATCTCATCTAAATCTCCCCTCTTCCAATTTAAAAGCATCTCCCCTCATCCTATCCCTACACTTTCCCCGTAAACCGCCCCTTTAAAGCGCTAGGCTCTGTTCAGGGCTCTGACGCCTTTGAGGGGCGGGCGGAGGAGTGGGCGGGCAGGTCGGGCGGCGCATGCGCGGAGCTGCGCGTGCCCTCTGCGCGGCGGGAGCCATGGGGCTGGGGCAGAACTCCTCCGTGCGGGGTAGGCGCGCGGCCCCGGAAGCGGCGCGGGGCGGGGGTGGCCGCGTGCCCTCCGCGTGCCGGTGCGCGGGGAGGATGGGGTGGGGGGGGGAGGAGGGTGGACGGGCAGAGGAAGGGGCGCGGTCCCGCCTCGCCGGACCCCCGGGGACAAAATGGCGGCGGGGAGGCGGGTGACCCCTGGGGCCGGCCTGGAGGCGGCGGGTTAGAGACGAGCGTAAGTAAAATCACCCCCGGTAGCAGCTGGAGGGAGGGGGTGAGGGACCCCCTTCCTCCTCCCGGCCCGGCCCCTACCTGTGAGAGCGCCGAGCTCCGCGCCAGGCCCTCCGGTGCGCTTCAGCCCTGTGAGAGGGCCCCGGCCACCCGCCGGGTTTTACCGATAGCGGAGGGATAGCCCGTTTCGGTGTGATTTTATTCAAATACTGCTGGTTTATATTTGGGTCTTCCCTCCGCCGCCTGGCTGTCAGGCTCTGCCTCTGTGCTTTCTATGAAGCCGCCGGGCGTGAATTTCCCGAAAACACGTAAATTTCTGGGATTTTTAACTTGTCCTCGGATCCTGATGCCTTACAACAGGGATAACAGTGGTTCTTGCGCAATGTAATTATTAGCTTGAACCATGTCTGAAGTACCATTGTGTGTTTTAAATGCTCTCGGGCACCCAGGCAGGACGGGGTGGATGGAGGGCTGAATGGAAGGATTAATTATCTGATTTCCTCATCACCTGCCTGGCTGTGGTTTCCAGTCACAAAGCTGCTAGTGATTTATGCCCTTAACTCAGGGGACTCCATCCAAAGAGGTGTTTTTTGCATACGCTTCTGGTACAGAGGATGTTGGTGAAGGCATTGTTATGGCCTAAAACAGGTTATTCTGATGGAAGGCTGTGCTTATTAAAATAATCAAACCAAAGTCCTCAAGATGACTCAATAATGGCTTGCAGCCAGGTTGTGCTCCCAGGGGCAGCTTGCTATCGTTTATAAATTTGCAGGAATTAGGACTATTGCTATACCCTAGAAATTGAGAAGAAGACTTAGTTTGTGGGGGAGGGAGAAGAGCATGCTCCTAATCAAACTGAAAATATTGCAGGAAAACAGGGGAACAGCCGATCAGAGCAGTCTTGGAGGGTGCTTTGTTTAGGAGGAGGTGGCGTAGGGTTAATGTGATTTCTGTCAAGATTAAACTTGGTCAGTGAGTGGCAGGTCCCAGCTCTGTCTTCAGCTCTATGTGTTTCAGGCTGATGAATTTTGGAAATCATAATAATGCCTTATTCCCTTCTGCAAGCTAGACACCAGAAACTTCCCCTACTTTTGCAGGATTTAATTCCTGGTAATAATTGGAGAGTTAATTGTTTCTGTACACATAGGTGTGCATATTTGTTCAAAGGTTACCCTTTGGAAGGTATTGACTAGCACAGATAGTGCTTTTTTTTGGTTGTAAGCAGTGTGGTTGTTTGCAGGTGTGACCCTCCACTGAACATAGACCTTATTCCAGTGACTTGTCTTTTGCTGCTTATCAGCCAGATCCAACAATCTTTCTCCCTCAGGTGGCCTCTTCACCTTATGGTTTCAGTTAAATTAAACCTGTCAGTCATAATCCCGTTTCTTGTGGATGCTGTGAAGTGGCAGAAGTGACTTCATCTGCCTGACTTCTACTATTAGGCAGTTTCTATGCAGCCAGTTATCCTGGACAACTCCTCACTGAGTGTCATGTGTTTCTCCCAAGTGTGGCTAGCAGAAGGGTGGCCTTTCATTGTGGACTTGTCGTAAACAACTCTTGGACAATAATAGCCACTTCGTTGGCAACCAAGGGGGAAGAAAGATACTTGAAAGTCATAAGCACTTCTGAAGACAAAAATATATGGATTTTCATGTCTCTCGTTATTACTCTGTAGCTGACTTTGAAATACCATGGGCATTTTCTTAAGCACCAGAGGTTACTTGAAAATTGTCTCTTTGGACTGTCTTGCACTAATGTTGTACAGTTGTAGCTATCTCCATGTTGTTGTCAGTGCCTGGAAAGTAAATTGATATGTTTCCTAACGAGGATTGCGTACTCCTGGTGGAGCCAAGACCATCTCAGTTTCTTAAGGCACTTGTCAGTGCAGATGGTAAATGCACGTTCTTCCTGCAGATAAAATCTGAGCTTTATGATAGATCCTCAAGGTATCTTTGTAGCCTAGATATGGAAACTTCCAGACCAACTTTCTAGCGGTTTAGGGAGAGAAGGGAAGAGAAACATTGTGATCCAAATCCCCTGTCCATTAAGATGTGTCTGAAGAATATAGAAGAAGATACATTCCCACCATTGGCTTGTTGCTGTTCTCATAATCTGATTATTTTTTTACTTCTGGGGATTGCATTCTTTGGCCTTCTGGTTCCTCCTTTCCAACTTTCTTCCCTTCTCTGTATGTTAATTCTTCTGGAGTTTTAGCCAAACCTTTTCTATTGTATAGTGCTTACAGCATTGAAACAATTTTTCAGCTCTGTTAGAGGGGCCCGTAGTGTCTTGTCCTATAGTGACTTGTAACATCATGTTTTGGTATTGTACCAGAATTGAGATTTATTTAATAATCACTCAACAGTTGCTCTTAGAGTTTTTATTCTAAAAAGAAAAAAAACGAAACAACCTTGACATTCTGTATCAATGGCACTCTGTTAACAGATGCCTCTTCAAGTAATAACGTGTATGACCTTAAGATTTTGGCACCAAACTGTTGAACTGGCACCCAGAGACCTCTTGAAAAAGAGTTTAAAGTATTTAAAAACTTCTGAAAAGTGTTTTTCCTTCCAGGTGCAGTTTTATGGTTAACTTAGTTTTAAAGATGAAATGGGCATTCCATGTCTTCCAAATCTGCTTGTGAAACAAAAACAACAGCTGACATCAAAACTTTTTATCTCTGAAACCTTGCAGGATGATATCATTGTAAAAGAGAAAGTCCATTTGTTAAATTCAAATTGCTTCATAAATTTACATTATGTTTATTAAGGCGATGCTGAAACTTAAGGAATAAGCTGCTTTAAATGTTTGGATTTCATGTATTATTGGTTGATATAATTTTCTGCATTGATACAGTTCTAGAGAAGTGATGAAAAAAAGCTAATACAGTAAAATAGGCACTATGATCTATTATAAGAAAAAAAAAAACCATTAAGCTGTTTATATGTACACAGTCTGCCTCTGTGTGTTGTAGCTGAATCCGGCCCCTGGGAGAAGTAGAGAGTCATTGAAATATGACATGACAATTACTTTAAATTAATGACCTCTGCTTGTTGAGCTGGATGTGCTGTGTGTGGTTATGCGGTAGGTGGCCCTGAGGGATGGTCAGAAGGGTGTGGGTTAGCTGCCAATGCACAGGACAGCTCTTCTGAACCTGCTGCAAGGCTGCTGAATTTTAGTACAGACCTTCCTGCTCACGCTCCGAGTTGTAGAAATATTTTTGTCATAAGAATCTTGTTAAGATGACCTGGACCTGCATAGGTACAATAGAAGGTCAGCTTCCTTAAGGTGCAGCACCTTAAAGGGTGGTTTAGTTACAGGAGTCATCCTTGGTCTTTATTGAAGTCGCTCTTTCCCCTTAATTTCCTTAAGGGAATGGATACACACATTTAATAGAATGAATACACACATTTTCATAGAATCCCTTCTTTAATTTAACCTCCTGGCTGCTTTGCCCTGTTAAAATTAATGCATTCCTCTGGCTAGTTTGTAATGGGGAAATGAAGAGCTGAGAACTCAGTGGATGGATATAAACCACTGAATTCACAATATGCTCTCTGGGGCTGTTACTGTTTTAAGGAGTTTGAGAGCAGGGAAACATGCCCTAAATTTTTTGATGTTAAAGATGCTGTTCTGTATCTTAATATCAACCTGTTACAGGGAGGGTTTGTCACTCGATTGCAGGGCAGGTCTCTCTCAGTGTACGTTGGTCTCTTCTGCTTCATTTAATAAGAAAATGAACTCCAAAGGATTTCTGCATCTCTTACTCCTCTAGTAAGACTCTAGAGGAGTGCCTGCCTTCCCTGATCATACCAGGCTGCAGACATCATATAGATGTTTGTCCAATTCCACATATTGCTACATCCACACCCGTGGACCAGCATCATGCACATGAGCTAAAGCAATGTTTTAGCCAAGTAAAGGCCTTGGTATGGAATTTAGAAAAGGCTGTGGGACAGGGACAGAAAACCTTCTGGATCCTTTTACTGAAAGCTCACAGTGGTAATACATCGAGTCAGTTGGCTGTGGAAAGTAGGAAGAACTAACAAAGGCTTTTTGTTTCTTCTTAGCCTTTATTGTAGTAATGTCTATTGCTGCAAAGATGCCATCTGGCTTGGCGTCGTTCAAATCCAATGCAAACACAGAAGGCCAAGACAGAAATTCCCAATTGGAAGACTGTTGTAGTTTTCTTAAGTTCTGTAAATATGCTAAAACATAAATTCCTGTTTGATATTTTTTTTTAAATCAGTTGAATTATGTAGGTTTAAATTCCTGGTTTTTTTTTTAAATCAGTTGAATTATGTAGGTACATGTTATGAGTATGTGTGTGAGTAGATGGGGTGGATAAAAAGCAAAGAAAGAGCAACCACCTGCTGCTCTGAGAGAAATGGCTGGGGCTGTTGCTGCAACCAGAAGCTTTGGGCTGAAGGCCAGCATATTTTCATGAGGTAGAGAGAAAACAATAGAGCTACCAAAACGTAGGAGAACTCCTTGCAGAAAAGGAAATTAAATTGAGGCAGACTGCAAAGATTTTTGGAGATAACTGGAGGGAGAAAAGTGAGGATGAGAGGTGTTGGCAAGAGGATTTTTTCATGGAAGTTGTCTGTCAGAGAGTCAGGACCTAATCCAGTTAAAATAAACTCGTGCTATTATTCTTAAATATAATCTTTTTGGATCCTTGTTTTTTTCCTGTACACCACAGGAGGGATTTAATCTAAGATGGCTTTTATTACTGTTGGTAGTATGTTCAGTAATTATCCCATAGGCTGTAAGTTTTTTTTAGTTAGGAGATGTGTTCTATTAAAAGCTGCCTTGGGGAGATCCTGCTTGGGTTGTTGGTGCTGAATGTTCTTTAGTGACTTTCCTGCAACTGAAACAGGCAACAGGTGGGTTTTTTTCCTGCTACAGGTTGCAGTTATAGCTGGTTCAAGGTACTCAACTTGGAAACACTATACTACCTATGTTGTTATCAGAGGTTCCTAAATAAAAGGTTAAAAAAAAACCCCAAAGCCTACCAGGTTAATCCTTACCCTTGCATGGAAGGGATTGGGGTGAAGAAGAATTCTAATCAGTAGAAAGGAGTAGATTAACTAGGTGAGTGTCAGAAGAAAATACTCTTCTAAAGTAATGTGTTACTACTGCAGAACAAAATGGTCTGTTAGAATGTAAAGGTGTTGCTACAAGGAATTTTAATAGAATGTTGTGGTCAAAAACTTACAGTCTCTTTTTTTCTTCTATTCTAGTTGAATGGATTGCTGCAGTCTCCTTAGCTGCTGGAGCAGCTGCTGTTGGGTATCTAGCTTACAAAAAATTTCTCTCTAAAGACAAATGCTGCAAAGCAGTGGTGAATCCCAATATCCAGAAGGATAACCCCAAGGTAGTCCATGCATTTGATATGGAAGATCTGGGAGATAAGGCTGTGTACTGTCGTTGTTGGAGATCTAAGAAGGTAAGAGAAGCATAAATGGTCCAATTTTGTTCGTGTGCGTGCATCTTTCAAGACCAGGCTGGATGGGGCTTGGAGCAACCTGGTCTGGTGGGAGGTGTCCCTGCCCAGGGCGGGGGGGGTGGAACTCAATGACGTTCAAGGTCCCTTCCAACTTTAACCATTCTATGATCTTCCACCAAAACTATTTTCAAACTGCTTTCTTTAGAGGAAACTAACTGCTTTTCACCTAAACAATTCTGCAGTGAGATGTAGCAGTATTTTAATCCTTAAAACTATGTATAATTATGTTGTCACTGAGAGCGAAGCCTGCAGATCAGTGCTAATAGTGAACAAAATGTTTCTGTAGCTCTGAGGCAGCAGATCCTTGAAAGGAGAGCCACTGTGTGGAGCAGAGCCATGAATGATAGATACCATTTTGTGTGCTGGCTGTGCTAGTATGGATGCTTATTCAAAACTCCTGGCCTGTTGGCAGTAGGAGCTCAGGAGCCACAGTCTGAGAGGACCTTAAACACCCTCTGTGGGAGGAAGCTGGAAGCTTACTCTGTCAGTCAGAAAGTACCTTGCTACTAGTGCATATTGTTAATAACACATATTGATTAAGAAGTCTCTTTGTGTACCAGACCTGGTGTCAAATTGTCACTTGCAATGTCTGAGTCCATCATTAAATCTTGTAGACAGAGGGCATGCAGAATGGTTTTGGGAAGAGCCTGACTTGTGCAAATGGTGTTACAGTGATACTGCTGCTCTGTCCCGAATTTGTTGTCATAGCACTGCTGTGTACTGTAGATAGCTACCTTTTGCCATGTGAGTACAGCAACAAATTGTTTCCAGTGGTGATGGAGGTAATCTAGGAAGAGATTATTGTGGTTAAAAGCTTTCAAAGATCTAGACAGATGGACTTAATGTATTTATGCCTTAGCAACTCAGAATACTTGTATGGGTAATCCTAAAGTAAAGCCAGTGAAATCATGATGGCATACTCTAAGCCCCTATTTTTGAGCAATTAAAAGTCCAGCCTAGACACTGGTCCATGTTACTCACATATGAAGTTGGGTTGCCTCAGTTGCTTAAAATTTCGTGGTAAGCATGATACCTAGCCTTTCAATAACACTAAGGTCAGATTTAAATCTAAGGTGGAGATGCGTGGCACGTGATGTAGCTGAGGTCTGTATAATTTATCTGTAGCCATAGTTCTGGGATCTGTAATGAGAGAAAGCTGATTGCATGAGTAGTCTTGTCCATTTACCACTGACACGTATTTAAAAGCTGTTTCAAGGTGCTAATGTGTGGAGACTGAAGTAATACAGACCTTCAAAGCCAGATAAATGAGGCCAATAGCCTTGAAATCTAGCTTGCTCTCTGTCAGTGAACTGAATACTAGACTTCTCAAGCCTTAGAAACTGGTCTAACGGGGCCACACACTACTGTTTTCCAGGTGTTATAACTTTCAGTTCTTGCTGTTGTCAGATCTGACTTCATTACATTGCAGGTGAAAATCATGGAATTGTCTAGGTTGGAAGGGACCTTTAAGATCATCTAGTCCAACCATCAACCTACCTCTGATAAAAACCATCACCAAACTATGTCTCTGAGCACTATGGCAACCCGGCTTTTTAATCCCTCCAGGGATGGGGCCTCAACCCCTTCCCTGGGCAGCCCAGTCCAAGGCTTCAGGACCCTTGTAGTGGAAAGTTTTTTCCTACTCTCCAATCTGAACCTCCCCTGGTGCAACTTGAGGCCATTTCCTCTTGTCCCATCGCCTGGGACTTGGGAGAAGAGACCGACCCCCCCTGGCTACACCCTCCTTTCAGGGAGTTGGAGAGAGCCAGAAGGTCTCCCCTCAGCCTCCTCTTCTCCAGGCTGAACACCCCCAGCTCCCTCAGCCTCTCCTCAGGAGACTTGTTCTCCAGACCCCTCACCAGCTCCGTTGCCCTTCTCTGCACCCGCTCCAGCACCTCAAGGTCTTTTTTTGTGGGAAGGGACCCAAAACTGGACACAAATAACTCAGGAAGTTACACATTTGTAGATACATTTGGTTTAACACTAAAGCACTATTGAGGATTGGACAGCATGATTTAATTTTGAAGTAGTTCTGTGGAGATGGGTATGTCTGCTTTGCTCTGCCTGGAGGCGAGACTGAAGAACAAAATTCCCCACCCCTCCATTGCCCTGCTGTGCTCTTTGGACTGAGTTAGGTATCGTATGATTACACACCAGGGAAGTGTGTACACTCCCGTGCAGTGCTGATAGCTGCACAGCATGCAGGAGGCATCAGGCACGTGTCTAGCAGCATTGCCACTAAATCTTTGTCGTAAATCTCAACTGACAGCCAAGAATCCAGCGTTGGAAGCTGCCACAAGGGCTAGGGCTTTAGAAAAGAAAAAGAGGGAGGAGAAGGACTTAACTATTGGCACTTTGTTTTACTATCTGAATTTGGATTTACCTCAGGTTGAAAGTGTGTAGGCACCTCCTTTGGTGCTTCTGGGGTGGGGGGAAATTTCTAACTTGAGCTGTGGTGTTTGTTTAGAAAACAGAGTAGGAAGCAGAAAGTACAGAGATGGAAGATAGTGTCGGGGTTTTGTGGTTGCATTGCAGCTCTTGGCAGTATTCTAGCTATTGTCTGATACTATCTTTTCTGTGTGAAAATAAAATCTTATGTGCGTTCTGGCATATATTGAAGGGGTGTTGTCAGTTTAGGAACATACTGTCCTACTGAGTTAGGGCTCTGTAATCTCATACTGAAAGGAAGTAGATGGGGCTACCTTATGATGAGGCCATTATTAGAACTCTGACCTGAAAGGTCTTGTAAAGGCATTAAGGAGGGCAGTGGAAAATTTTGAAGGCATGTGTTTTTTTCCACTGATGGTTAATAATGAGTTAGTTAATCAGCATGTTGTGCTTCAGATACTGCAGTTTCCCGTTTTGCTGCCTTCCTCTTGCCCTGATCAGTTGACCTTGTATGGTGGGTAGCATGATCTTTAAGGTGGTGTGCGTGCTTCTGCTCGTGTTAAGTCATTGCCAAGCAGTAATAAAATACAGAGACATTTCTTCATCATTCTCACATGCTTGTCAGCTGTAGAAGTAGTTAGCTAACATGATCTGTTTCTTACAGTTCTCAGATTAAGATCCTGTTAAAATTTGTAAGAAAATGTTTATATGATGGCAAAACGGTAGAATATGTGTGCTTCCAGTGCAGGGAATTACAATTACTTTAAAAACAACTAGTACCTACTGTGGTTTTGTTAAAAAATAAGTGGTCTATGGAGATCTCTATTCCATATACAGATTAAAAGGAATGTCCTCTTGTATGATGGTGTGAGTGCTTCTCACCAGAAGGAGCCTCATCTCAGGCATGAGGCTGTTAATGGAACCAGTAGTGTTAGGAACCATAGGATATTTTGGTGTGCACTCATGGTGTGCAGGCACTACAGCTGACCTCATGGTGTCCCTACAGGGAAGAACAAAACAGTTGGACTATACCAGGGTGTATTGGAGTAACTCTTAAGAAAGAGCATTATTATTTTCAGTTGGTTCTTTTTTTTCTCAAATAGTATACTTCAAAGGGTTTTTTTTTTGATTGTGCTGGCCGAAGTCTTTGTGGAGTGTGTGTGTTTACAAAAAAACCTAAAAAACCATGTGATATCTTCAAATAAGTCTGTCTTGGAATGTAATTATCTGTTGAAGTAGGTGGTAGGTAGTTCTTTAAATGGCCCTGTCCTATTCGGTTTCGTGCTCTGCAGGCACTTCATAGTACTGCTCATCAAGTTTTGTGGAAAAACTGAGTGTATTTACCAGCGCAGAGGCAAGAGTTTTGTCTTAATACCAAAGTGTAATTAGTCTAAAGTTAGAACGGTTGTTTTCTTACTCTTCTGCATTTTTAAGTGCATGAACTGGGCTGGGGGAATGCTTCCAGAGAAGTATTCCAGCCCCCAGGCTGTGGGTCAAGGAATATTGCAGCAGAACATCAGAAGAAATAAAGGTGGGATAAGGGTAGGGACTCTAAACCTGTTCAGTGTCAAAGGAAATAAGATGAGCTGTCCAGGTCACGTCACAATTCCCTCAGGGTTTGGGCCTTGGCTGCTATTGCTTGCCTGCTTTATCTTCTTCAAGGATGAACAAGTCTCAGGCCCAGGATCCTTCTATTCAATATCTGGCCTTCAAGGTGACCAAGTGGGTGCTCTAGAAAAGTGGTGTTGGTTTTTCTGTTTTGTTGGTTCTTTTCTTTTTTCCTTTGGAGAAGCTGAAGTCTGGTGTCCCTAGCCACTGGTTCCCAGACCAGCTGACCCAGAGGGTGAATTCAGAGCAGTCAGAGTTGGTAGCTGTTAAAGGTGTCTTGATGCTATCTGAAGCCTATGAATACCACCATTTTTGTCACTTGCAGACTTGAAGTGATAATGTTGCTGTAGCTGGACTTGTCTCCTTGGGGCGTGTGAGATGTTAATGTCTGACTGAAGCTGGGTCCATGCTTCTGTGAAGACCAGTGGACTGTAGGATTGCATGGAAAAACAACTGGCCCAGCAACATCTGGTTGGAAGCTGGTCAGTGTCCCAGGAACATATGTTCTTGCTCGCTCAGATTTTTTCCAAATGTCTGTCAGTACCTCCTCCATTGAGTCACAAATGACTGACGTGATGATAAAGTCCCTGCATGAATCAGCTTCTATGAGCGTTCTCCGAATTCAGGGTTTCTTTATTCAGAAACATCACCTGCCACTTAACAGCGTGGGTTTTGACATTTTGTAGCTGTGAAAAACAAAAAACCCACCTCACCTCATTCTCCCCCAAAACTACTTTGAACATGTGGCTTTATTTTTAAAGCTCTGGGATTATTTTTATTTGCAAGTATATTGTCTTCATTATATTGTTTTCACGCAATACTTTGAAATCTTTTATTCTAATTAAGCATAGGTGATAGGGTGTTAAGTTTTTTTCAAGGGCTATGACTGAGGCATGATGACTGGGATCAGTGGAGTGTCAAAGACTGATTGTGACTCTACTGGGAGGGAATATTGCTGTTGCAAAGGCAAAAGCCAAGTAATGCCCAACTTTGATTCCCTTTTAAGTGAACAAAATAGTAACTGAATATAAAATACTGGTGTGCAATTTCTGTGATCATCTCCGGTTTCCTCTGCAGAGGAGGCAGAGCCCTGAAAATGCATCCTTGAGAAGTGATGGGATCTAACCTTGCTCTTGTTGCTTCACAGAACGTCCTTTGGCTCTTGCATGTGGAAAGAGCTGCCCAGGAGCAGTGACCAGTGGGACCTGGGTGGTTACAGCTGGCTAAAGGAGTCCCTGTGGGTCTTGCTCTGACCAGGCTGTTCTAGGGTTATTTTTTATGGAACAAACATTTCTTCAAATTACTTCCTCAGTGCTACCTTTAAGATACCTTTGATAAATAGCCATGTCAGTTGGAAGTGCAGTTGATTTCCATTAACAGGTCAAAATGCTCATGTGGAAGCTAGCCTTGTGCAAAGGGACCTTGTGTGTCGATGAGATAAGCTTGCTCTGTCAGGACAAAGCAAAGGCCATTTGCCACTCTACCTGTCCAGAGGCAGGACTAATACATAGGTGTGTCTTCTTAAATAAGAGATGAGCTAGGGAAACTGCTTTTTTTCTTCATCATGTGCTATGAAAAACCAGGAAAAAAAAAATCAGCTAAGGATCTCCTTCTGTTTCTCTTCCTCACCCTGCTTATCTTTAACTTCACTCAACTTTGGCTGTTGCCCGGGAAAACAAGAGTGTGGGGCAAGGTTGAGAGCAAGGTACTCCAGGTAGGTTACAGTTGAAGGCCAGCTCTGGCTGTATTTCCCTCGTGCTGGCCTGAGGCAGGAACACGAAATAGAGCACAATTGAGTTGCTGCTTTTTCCCAACAAGCCTCTTGCCCACTCTGTATTCACAGGGCCAAAATGAGCATTGAGGCAAAACTCAGGGAGGGAGACCTGAGACACCAGCACAAGAGCTGCAATCATGGCTGATGTAATGAGGAGTTCTAATGAACTTTCAACCTAGGTTCTTAATTCTGACTCTGGATGTACTTTAGATGTGTTTATTCTTTCTTTTTTTTCAGTTCCCGCTGTGTGATGGCTCTCACACAAAGCACAACGAGGAAACTGGCGACAACGTCGGGCCTCTGATCATCAAGAGGAAGGAGGCGTAGAGTGGACAGTAGAAGCTACGAAATGAATGTCTGACAAATTCTCTGCTCACTTGTAATTGGGGGGAAAAACCACAAATTCTTTGTCATGTCACTGAAGACTTTCCGGTGTAGCATATACATCAGGCTTCAGCATGTGTATTTTCTCTGATGCTTGTCTTGTTTTAATCACTACAATGCATAATTTACTAAATAGTCATGGTTTAAATTTTTTGTCCTGTAAAGTGTGTGTACCCTCTCATGGAGTATGAAGCTAAAATGACACACAGAATGTACTTCATCAGAAAATAGGTATTAAATTATTTTGAAATACATGTGTACTACTCTGAGGCTATTCAGTAGAACGTGTGTTCAAAAGGTAAATTTTAAAATCCAGGAGAGGTTCTAAAGTCAAAGATCTGGATAGATTTCTATGTAAAAGGCAGTGGCAGGAAAGAAACCATGGTGCCAAAATGCAGCTTAACCTCTGATTATGCTGCATTTTCTGCAGGTGTCACCTTTAGCCTATTACACTACTGTTCCGTGTGGCTTCTGTAGAAGAACAAATTCAAAATCACTACGAACAGCCAACATAAAAGGCTTTATAGCAAGATGGAACTAAAGGGCAACTTTACCTTTGATTTTTACAGCAGCGTTGAAACTTGACCCTACTACCGAACGGTATCAAGAAGGTACTACTGGAACTGCAGACCTGTGCTTAGAGTAGGATTAGAAAGATGGTCTCTGCAAGAATTTTCTTAATAGACAAGTGGAATGATACGAAGTGCTCAAAGGGTTATGGGCAGGGGGTGGCAGGGTTGTCTTTGCTTCTAGAAAGCCTTAGTTTCACTTGCAGTCTCTAGCAGCGAAGCTGACTTCCCCAGACTAGGGGACATTTGTGTGTGGGAGGCTATGCCCGTTCATCCCAGGAGCTAAAATAAAAACTAGAACCCCACCTGTCATTACTGTCTGCTTCATCCTTGCTCTGGCTGGTTCCAGAGGACTCTTCCCGCTGCGGAGGACGGCGGCACACCTTTCTTACTAAGTGGCCTTAGGCTCTATGTGTCTTAACTAACTCCTGCCTCCCTGGGCTGACCGTTAACGTGGTTCAGCTGACTTCACCAAAAGAACTGACGTGGACAAGGAAAGACTTTAGGGACAGCTAGAAACAAGGGGGAAAGGAAGGATGAGACAAGGAGAGGTCTTTGCCCCCCTTTCGTATGGCACTTGTCTGACATGGTTGCATTCGTGGCTATCGTGTCGGTTTCCTTAAATTAAATAGCTTTGATTTAGTAACATGGAAATGACTACAAAGCAAAACCCAAAGAGTGGGGTGGCTGAGGACAGTTTTGTATTAAACCCCAATCCATCAGCGTAATTGCAGCCTGTGTAATGTTGAGCTGTCAATGTCTTGGGACAGAGAGACTACCTCAGAGCTAGAAGAAAGACCTTTTCAGCCAGTGGACATTTTAACCTGGACCCTTAAGGATTCTTCCAGGTGATTGGGGCAGTAGAGGGTTGGTTGATTTTTTTATTTTTTTTTAAAGGTGTAGTTGATAGGATCGGTTAAGATTGAAGAAAATGTTTTGTATATTCTTGATGTGAGACTTTCAGAGGCTTGGGTCTTAGCTGCCTGGCAGAAGGCACAGAAAGTAGAGAAGGTGGCACAGAGAAAGAGGGTTTGCAGGCAGAGTGCTGCTGTCTGAGAGAGACCTCTGCTTGCAAGAAGTTGCAGTCGAATACATTTAGTTTTCATCTTTTCTTCCTGTCTTGACTGTAAAGGTACTTGATGTTTTTTACTTGGCTGAGTACTGATGCGTATGGAAAGTTGTTTTAAATTGTCAATTACATTGCTTTTATCCAAAACAAAGTTATTTCTGTATTATTAGAATATGATACTGGGTATTTCTGTATTTTTGTCAAATACACATTTGAGCTCACCTTAGTCTCGAGGCTGTAATGTCTGTGTTATCTCCTGGCTGGGCTGTTTCTTTCCTGGGAGAGTTATGCTCTGAGTAGTGCTGTTGCCAATGCTGCTGTAATTGTAAACGTGTTTGGGTTGGGTTTTCCTTCTGAGACTTCTTTTCCTGTTAGCAGCAAAGCCTGGCTGCTCTTGAAGGAATAAAAGTTCACTGAAAGCTGCATTAATGTTCTGAGAGATGGAAGTCAAGAAGTTTCAAAGGAGTCTCCTGAGTAATAAAGCTATTTCCTGGAGTTTGGGCATCAGGGAAGTGAGCTCTGTGAGAAGTTTTTGTTCCTGGGAAGCAAAGATGCGAAGGCAGAGGCTTTGATGATTAACATCCTGGTGAGTTTGTTTTGGAGAAGTGTCACATTTATAAGTGTTGACACAAAGTGGTTAAATTTTTATTTTTGAAGTACATACAGTTTTCTGTACCACACCTAAAAGTTGCTGTTACTCATGTATGTGAGCTGTTTGAACCTGGTAACGAAAAGAGATGCCCGAATTTAAGTAAAGAAACTTGCCAGCAGCCTTGATGAGCATCACAGAGAACACTTTATTATTTTTTTTATTTAGTCTCATAATAGATTATCATGTTCCGATAGTCTGAGTGCTTGCGTGTTCCAGTGTTTTCTGAAATCTCTGTTCTTTAGTGCTTTCCTCAAATAATCTCATGGTTAGATTTTTTTTGCCAAGTTTTAACCATAAAAGAATGCTTCTGCAAATGTGCAATTTCCACATCCCATTGAAACTCCTACATGAAAATGTGGTATGAATCCGTCGTATCAAAGCAGCGAAGGATTCCTGTCCCAGAGTAAAACTGTGTTTCTGTTGTACGTTATTTTTCAACGTGTAAGTGTTCATTAGGAAGGTGAACAAATTAAAGTACTCATTCTTCAGTAATTGAGTGTGACTCATCAAAATAGTCTGAATGTCAAACATTCGAGTGCTTCTCGAACCAGCATTCTTGAAGAGGAGACAGCTGGGAGTTACAGGGATTTTCCGCACGTTTAATTAAAGTGCATTAATCTAATGGGCACTTTGAAACGCCGGGGGCCAGCCCTGCAATCACATCCTGGTCCACTAGGAGGAAACAAATGCTGTGCAATGGGCACTCCTTGATGTGGGCAATGCTGGTTTTAAGGAGTGTTTTTGATATGTGCATGAATTTACGTATTATTTTTTTTCTGGGAATTGTATCGCCAGTTTCCCAAGAGGCAGCAGCAGAGCTGACTGCAGCCCCTATTACAATTTTCACCGTGTTGTTGCAGTTTGGACCTTGTTCTGGTGCCACCGGGGTCTGTAAAATTTTATTTTGCACAGTGGCACAGCGGTGGGACTGGGATTTTCCTTGGAAGTGTTACACAGCTGGATAAGGATGTGGACGTGTGAGTCACTGCTGTATCACAGTCGGTCACTCCAGTAACGGAAGAACATTTTATAATACCAGGAAGGATAAGAACGTGGGTGCAAAACTAAACATTGGTGTTGCAAAGAAACCTCCAGCCACCCTGAGCTTGGAAGTCTTTTAGTAAATTTGGCTTCTGTTTCAGGCTGTGGCCCTGGCTGGGTTAGGTGGAAGAACACAACCTCCCTGTGGCATGTGGGCAGAGAGGGGATGCCCCGACGCGGTGTTGCCAGTGGGCTGAGTTTATCAGTGCTCAGCACGGGCAGAACATTTCACGTGGACCTGTTGAGAAGACCAAATGCCTTTTCCATTGTCATCAGTGCTCGTTAGGCCCGGCAGTATCCAATCCCCCCTTCTCCCAGTTCCTTTGTGCACCCAGGCTTGAGCTGCCCTGGTTTTCCTGCAGCGATGAGTGGCTTCTCTGCAGCAGCAGGAGAATGATAATTTTCCTAGAGCCGTCCCTAATTTAGGATGGGTAGCAAAGCTCTGTGCTGCTTGGTTTATTCCGTGGCAGTGGTGTTGCTGTTCTGCCTGTTTCTCATAGCCTGTTTCTCAGGCAGGATCATTTCCAGGCTGCCTAACGCTGAGGCTGATGCAGAGAGGGGCCGAATAAAAACTAAATAACGTCAAAATAAATGTGGAGAAAGGAGCAGGAAGGCGAAAAGGAAGAAATAAAATGGCAGATGGGGGGAGAGGATAAGCTAGGAGAGCAGATTTAACACTGTAACGGTGTAACACTGTGAGGTGGTAGCGAAAGGGATAAATGAAAGTACAGAAAATGATGTCTTGCATTTCATTATCCCTCTTAATAGAGCAAAGCATAAGCAGCAGTTGTATTGGCCAAACCCATACCCCTTTCACAGCCGAGGGGGTTACGTGCCTCGAGCAGACATCTGTCACTGTGCTTTTTCCTCCTGAAGGCTTGGTGAGATCCCCCAGTACTGGACAGAAAGCAAGGAACGCTCACAGCACAGGTCCCCTGTCAGCAGCCTCCATGCCCACCTTTGTGAAGTGTTTAATTAGATGTGCAGGTTTAACAAACAAGAGTATTTATCGCTGCTCTCTCTGAAGTCAGGAAAATCAGAGTGGGTTTATGTGACTGTAGCAAAGCAGAATTCAGTCCGCCTTCCTCGTGTGTGGTTTGGACCAGTAAGAAAGGATTTATCAGGGTTCTCAAGCAATTGCAAATGTCTCAAATAAGCACAGAGAGATTGTTTCTGGTGGTATTTTTTTTTTCCTAGCTGAAAGCTGAACCATCCCTCCTCCCTGATTTGACATTGCACTGCTCTCAATCCGCTCTGCTCTGCATCCTTTTCACCATCAGACTGCAGTTTTTTTCCAGCATTTTTGAACGTGTGGCACACTTACACACACACACACAAAAAAAAAAAAAAGTGCCTTCTGCTCTCCAGGAGAAGCCTGTGCAGACAAGAGGAGCTTCCTGAGTGTGCCAGAAATGATAGCTTTAATGTGTGAAACGTCCAGAATTCAGCACGCTGCAAGGCTCTGCGCAGTAGCTGGAATGTTTGTGCCGCTCAGTCAAGTCAGCTGGCAACAGAAAGGCAGCAAAATGAATGAGAAGGTCACCGAGTGCGTAACTTTTCTCAAATACTTCTCTGCAGCTGGCAAATATCACCATACATGGCTAAGACGTGGTCAAGATGCACTGTCTGTTCACCGCCGGGACTCTAGCTCGAGACTCGGATACCAAAACAACAGCCAGACCAGGCTTTCACTTCAGCAATTATTAAATTCGTTGCTCTTTTCAGACAGTGTGATCTTGCTCTTTCACTCTCATTCTTGGCTCCAACATTTGCACGGGTTAAATTGCTTTTTAAGGGTTGAAATTGCGTTGCTTTGCAGACAAAGCCTGGGAGCAGAGCGTTGTCTGATAGAAGAGACTTTTTAAAATGCCAGTTGGCAGCGGGTGAAGTCAATAAATAGGTGTTTGATTTTACTGCAGGTAGAGGCAATGTAAGGAGCCTCTAGAGAAAGACAAAGAGGCATTTTAAATAAACCTCTTGGCATATTAAATCATCTTAAATCGAGTACTGGGGTTACCCTAAAGCATTAGGATGTGACTGGTAAAATGCCATCATACGTTTGTAAACCCTGAGCACCCCCCTGATACAGATACACCACTGTATTGTTTCACTGCCCTTTTTTAGGGCTGGAGGCAGCTAAAATACATTTCATCTATTCAGGCTCTCCACAAGTCATGGTTTAATTCCATCTTCTGCACCGATTAATTAATGGTATGTTCCTATTCTCCATGAGAGACCAGGCGTGGAAGCCGGCCTCAATACGTGGCACGCTGAGGCGACACATAGCAGCAAAATGATGCCTTTTGTCTTCTTCTCAATGCTCTTCCTGGTGTTGCCCAACAGTTTCTTGGTTGTTTTTTTGGCTGCAGACGCACACGGGGCCGATGATCTCAGCCAACTGTCAATAGTGACTTCAGGATCTCTTTCACAGCCGGTTCCGGGATCAGCACTGAGGAGCTTTGGTTTGATTTAGTTTCTTCTACACGTGGATAAACTTTACATTTATCCAGACTGAAGCTCCTGTGCCAATCTTGTGCCTTTCATTCAGCTTCGTGAGGTCCTGCAGGATTTCTTTGCCACTGGTGTGGCGTTTGACTGCCCTAAGGAGGTCATGACCTGGAGACATCACGCACAGTCCCTTCTGTCCCCTCCACCCTGAAAGCCCTTCCATTTGCTTCCCACCCCTTAACCTCTTCTCCGTCCAAACCCGAACCTCTCCTCCAAATTCTTTGCTTAGTTTCTTTAATGATAAAATAAAAAAGCCCAAGGACTGCGAGGAAGAAACCATTGAAGTGCACTTCTCGCCTTTATAGTCCTTGTACCTTTCTAATACCAAAGACTTCCCAAAATTTACAGCTGTGGTTCTGTTTGTGGAAAAGGTGATCCAGAAAATACACAACTGCTGTGAATTAACCTCACAGTCATTTTCACAACGTACTGGATTATCTCCAGAGATAGATTTCTGACACCATCCCTTTGTTTTCATCCTGGAAAACCCCAGATGTACTCGGTTGCCAGGGAGGAGAGTAGTGTCGAAGAGTTTGCATCAGTCAGAGCCAAGTAAAATATTAATCATTGTGGGACCTGATGCCTCAGTGACAAGGCAGTAGCTAGGAAAGAAAGTGGGATAGCAGCACCACTGAGTTTTACAGCTACAAGGGACAGAGAATGGACTGAGAGTAGCTTTGAGGAGAAGGACTTGGGGGTGTTGGTGGATGAGAAGCTCAACATAAGCTGACAATGTGCACTGGCAGCCCAGAAAGCCAACCACATCCTGGACTGCATCAGCAGGAGTGTGGCCAGCAGGTCACAGGAGGTGATTCTGCCCCTCTGCTCTGCTCTGGTGAGACCCCACCTGAAGTCCTGTGTCCAGCTCTGAGGCTCTCAAAATAAGAAGGACATGGACCTGTTGGAACGGGCCTAGAGGAGGGCCCCAAAGATGATCAGAGGGCTGGCCACCTCTCCTATGAAGACAGGCTGAGAGAGTTGCGGTTGTTCAGCCTGGAGAAGGCTCCAGAGATATCTTATAGCCCCTTCCAGTCATTAAAGGGGGCTACAGGAGAGATGGGGAGGGACTCTTTATGAGGTAGCGTAGTGATAGGATGAGGGGTAACAGTTTTAAACTGAAAGAGGGGAGATTTAGACTAGATATTGGGAAGAAATCTTTCACTATGAGGGTGGTGAGAGCCTGGCTCAGGTTGCCCAGAGAAGCTGTGGCTGCCCCATCCCTGGAGGGGTTCAAGGCCAGGCTGGATGGGGCTTGGAGCAACCTGGGCTGGTGGGAGGTGTCCCTGCCCAGGGCAGGGGGGTTGGAACTGGATGCTCTTTAAGGTCCCTTCCAACTCTAACCATTCTATGAACTTTTGTCAATCTATCAAAGGATTACAAGCCCCGAGCTATGTTAAGAGGGGATGATACAGCAACCCTTCTGCTGTGAAACAGCAAGAAAAGAAGAACTGCAGCAGGGCTACAACTTCCACACCCCTGTGACCACGCCTGCCGTAGGCCAAAAGGAGCAGGACGGGTCCTCCTGCCCACAGAACCACCGACTGCAGGTGCTCTCTTTCACTCATCCAGCAGATTATTGGTTTCACTGATGGATATTTCTCATCAGGAGCACGCATAGGGTCCAGGTCGGTGCCGTTGCAATCTGCAGCGACGCAAGCACAGGAGCCTGCTGCAGGAAGTGGCTCTGTGGGCAGCGGGATCCTCCTCTCCGGTACAGACCTTCTGCAGAAGACACGGCTGCTGCTGCTATTTTGGGCAAAATGGGGAAGAAGTGGCTGTGAACCGTCCGAAAGGACAATCAAAAATGCAGTGGTGCTTGCTGTCAGCGTACGTCTAGAAGAGCAATATTTTGGCCAAGACCCAGCCCCACCAATCTGTTTACCTAATGTCCCCCTGCACTTCCACTCAAGTATGAGCTTATTTCCTGTACTAAACTCCCCAGCGTCTTGCAGTTATTAACTAGCCCTTGTGTTTGAAAAAAAGGGCTTTATTTCAGCAGAAAGTGACACTCCTGCAAACCTCGCTCAGTTTGGGGGAGCTTTGCAATCTGCCTCTTGCAGCACAAATAAACGAGTATGTGATATTTATTATTATTATTATTATATTGTTAGTGCTTATGTTTTTGTCAGACCAAGTGAGGGAAGATTGTTTTCCAGCAAGAAGTGACCCAGAATTAAACCTAATTTTGCCAAATGCATTTTGCTGAGGGGGATTCCTACCCACATTGTTAGTGCTTATGTTTTTGTCAGACCAAGTGAGGGAAGATTGTTTTCCAGCAAGAAGTGACCCAGAATTAAACCTAATTTTGCCAAATGCATTTTGCTGAGGGGGATTCCTACCCACCTGCCCTGTCTTTAGATGCTGTTTGCAGCCTCTTTTGCTTTCTCTTCGAGTGCAATTGCCCAGCCCGGAGATGAGAAGTTTCCTTGGGAATCCTGCTGGCAGGTTCACTTTTCAGTGCAGATTTTTACGGTGTCACACCCTGGGGAGAAATACATTTGTTTGTCATTTCTGGTATTCTCTCAGTTTCACTTGTTTTATTTTAGGAGAAGTTCCCAGATAAGATTAGTGAACTGTGTGTGCTGAAGCGTGAGGGTAGAATGAGTGAGCGGAAGGCAGTCTGGCGTCACTTAGATTTCTATATGCATAAATCTGAATAAAGCAAATACCAGGGAAAAGGAAATAGTCAGTGTTTGCTTATTCCAATTACTCATGCTTTCGTGTTTCTTTTCATCCCCTCCAGGTCCACTTCCAAGGATATCTAGAAGATACTAGTTCAGGACTGGGTACTTGAATAGCCTGTAAATTCCAATTTTTTGCCTTTTAATTCCATTTTTTTTGCCATTAAGATTTTAAGCTCAGGTAGATTGCGGTGTTAGATAAGCACTCATGCAAGTCTGGAACAGCATCTATGTTTTTCTCTCCGTGTTTAGAGCTGGATCAGACAAAGTGTCTCACATCTCTGCAGGGGGAAATACCTTCCTGCAAGGCTCAGGCTGGCATCCGAACCTTGCAGCAGCTGCTGCTGCAGAGACCAGGAGCCTCCTCTCTGCCACACACTTGTACTTTTTTTTTCTTAACTGTACTCGTCAGTAATTTTGTGTGTGTGGGGGTGTGCAAGGGCTGACCAATCTGTGGTTTTTCTCTCCTGCGTAAGCATCCCCCTGGGAAAATCCAGCATCTGGGAACTGAGGAGAGGAGCTCACGCTTGCAGCCATCTGACTCCTAATCTTTAGGGCTGTCCAGTAATGAATGATGAGAAGAGAATATTGTGAGGGAAAAAGATTAACTTTTCTGACCAGCCTTGTTACTTCAGAAAGGATCTTGCTGAGTTGTTACCACTATCTTTGCCATCTTACCCAATTAAAAAAGCGAATGAAATTGTTCCACGAGCAAAGAACTAAGGAAACTCAGCTCAGATGATAGATTTATATGCTCTGCTCTTTCCTCTCGATTTTCAATGCCCTCATTTTCCCTGTGACCTTCCTGCCTGATACTTTAATTTCCCCAGTAAATCCCCCAGATGGCCATCCAGTTCTCCCAACCACCTGCCATCTCTCCACGCGATGGGATGGGCCACATAATAGCTGAGCTCACCACACCGTTGCTCCCCATCATAACAACAGTGCTGATTCCTGATATACATCAGCTGACTTTTATAAACCCTGTGGGAACATCATGTATCTGCTAAAATTCCTTTTCCTCTCTCCATTCTTGTTTTCCTGTTCCCGCATCCTACTAATGCTAAACACAGCTTGATACTGGTGGGTACCAGTATCAAGGAAAAGGATCTGGGGGTCCTGGTGGATAGTAAACTCTCCATGAGCCAGCAATGTGCCCTTGTGGCCAAGAGGCCAATGGGATCCTGGGCTGTGTAGTGAAGAGTGTGGCCAGGAGGTCAAGGGAGGTCATTTTCCCCCTCTACTCTGCACTGGGGAGGCCACAACTGGAATCCTGCATCCAGTTCTGGGCTCCCCAGTTCAAGAGGGACAGGGAACTACTGGAAAGAATCCAGCATGAGGCAACAAAGATGATGAAGGGATTGGAGCATCTCCCTGATGAGGAAAGGCTGAGAGAGCTGGGACTCTTTAGCCTGGAGAAGAGAAGGCTGAGGGGAGACCTTATCAATGCTGACAAGTATCTAAAGGGGGGTTGAAGGAGGAGGGAGCCAGACTCTTTTCAGTGGTTCCCAGTGACAGGACGAGGGGCAACGGGCACAAGCTGGACCATGGGAAGTTCCACTCCAATCTGAGGAAAAACTTCTTTAGGGTGAGGGTGGAAGAGCCCTGGCAGAGGCTGCCCAGGGAGGGTGTGGAGTCCCCTTCTCTGGAGATCTTCAAGCCCCGCCTGGATGCTCCTGAGTGATGTGCTCTGGGCAGCCCTGCTTTGGCAGGAGAGTTGGACTGGATGGTCTCTAGAAGGTCCCTTCCAACTCCAACAATTCCATGATTCCATACAGCAGCAGGCTGTATATTCACCGAGACCCACTCATTTTATAAAGGAAAGAAACAGCAAAAAGGCAGTAATTGCAGGCTGACCAATATGCCCTGAAGGAAAGAAACACTGATAGTCTCCTACCCAGGCGGTGGGCTCCGGGGTCCTGTGGGTGAACGCAGGGCTCATGCTCCACCTGTCTGGGGTTAAAATATGGATTAATTTCTAGATATTTTTCTCTAGATGAATTTTAGAGATTAATTGCCCCCAGAGGCAACAAAGATGATGAAGGGATTGGAGCCTCTCCCTGATGAGGAAAGGCTGAGAGAGCTGGGACTCTTTAGCCTGGAGAAGAGAAGGCTGAGGGGAGACCTTATCAATGCTGACAAGTATCTAAAGGGGGGCTTAAGGAGGAGGGAGCCAGACTCTTTTCAGTGGTTCCCAGTGACAGGACGAGGGGCAACGGGCACAAGCTGGACCATGGGAAGTTCCACTCCAATCTGAGGAAGAACTTCTTTGGGGTGATGGTTGCATAGCCCTGGAAGAGGTTGCCCAGGTAGGGTGTGGAGTCCCCTTCTCTGGAGATCTTCAAGCCCCGCCTGGATGCTCCTGAGTGATGTGCTCTGGGCAACCCTGCTTTGGCAGGGGAGTTGGACTGGATGATCTCTAGAAGGTCCCTTCCAGCTCCAACAATTCTGTGATTCCATGATTCCTCTAAGCAGCAGGCTGTATATTCACCGAGACCCACTCATTTTATAAAGGAAAGAAACAGCAAAAAGGCAGTAATTGCAGGCTGACCAATATGCCCTGAAGGAAAGAAACACTGATAGTCTCCTACCCAGGCGGTGGGCTCCGGGGTCCTGTGGGTGAACGCAGGGCTCATGCTCCACCTGTCTGGGGTTAAAATATGGATTAATTTCTAGATATTTTTCTCTAGATGAATTTTAGAGATTAATTGCCCCCACCCCAAACCCAAGGCCAGTGCCCACAGAGCATGGCGAGGGTCCCTGTCAGGCTGCTTTGAAGCTCCTCACCCCCTCCGAAGCCCTGACACTACGCTTGGCTTCCTCCCTCCGGTCCACCGGAGAGAGAAGAAACAAAACCGGGGATGTTTGGATGTAAAACCGAAGCGGATTTGGGGCATTTTTTCTGATTACCGAAGACCGGCGGAAGGGGGATGGGCCCCGGCCCCGCCACCACACGCCGCCTCATGGGGCCGGGAGAGCGGGGCAGGGACGCCCACACGGAGGGGAGGGTGATCCCCGGCCCCTCCGCGGGTGGCGGCGGGGTTCCGCGGGTGCGCTAGGCCCCGCTGACACTGATAGTCTCCTACCCAGGCGGTGGGCTCCGGGGTCCTGTGGGTGAACGCAGGGCTCATGTTCCACCTGTTTGGGGTTAAAATTTGGATTAATTTCTAGATTTTTTTTTTCCTAGATGAATTTTAGAGATTAATTGCCCCCACCCCAAACCCAAGGCCAGTGCCCACAGAGCATGGCGAGGGTCCCTGTCAGGCTGCTTTGAAGCTCCTCACCCCCTCCGAAGCCCTGACACTACGCTTGGCTTCCTCCCTCCGGTCCACCGGAGAGAGAAGAAACAAAACCGGGGATGTTTGGATGTAAAACCGAAGCGGATTTGGGGCATTTTTTCTGATTACCGAAGACCGGCGGAAGGGGGATGGGCCCCGGCCCCGCCACCACACGCCGCCTCATGGGGCCGGGAGAGCGGGGCAGGGACGCCCACACGGAGGGGAGGGTGATCCCCGGCCCCTCCGCGGGTGGCGGCGGGGTTCCGCGGGTGCGCTAGGCCCCGCTGCCTCCGCGGCCGGCCGCGCAGCCCGGCCCTGGCT